TGGTTTAGTACTGCACGTGTGTTACTGTTGGTTTTATCCAGTTTTGTTTTGACCTTTTAAATAAGCTTTAAGTATTCGAGAGAAATGTAATAAGTAGTGTAGTGATAGTATACCTCACCTAGTTGTAATATAACATCAATTCCTGTTCGAGATTATTTAGTAATAGCCGTGAGAAATAAAAATTAGAGGTTATGGCATCTCAAAGAAGCAAATTGATTTTCAAACTGTTGGAAGAAGATAATGTAAATACTGGAGACCTCCAAGGTAATAATTGTTTATTTATCTGTACAATAATAATTAAAACAGTAATATCATTATTTTTTATACGACATACTAGATTAACAACATTTATTTTTTCGTAAAAGTTTTCTAGATGCAACTCAACTATAACTTGGTGAATATGCCTATTGTTTTTGGTTAATTTTAACCAGTGGCGTTACTTTAATTTGTATCTCTAAAAATTTTAAAAATTAATGTATGTAAAAGTTGATGCTTAACTTACATACTCAATTCCAATTTCAGATTTTGTATTATTTTATACATAAAATAATATATTTTGGGTTTTCTCTAGAGGGGACCGAATTTCCATAAAAAGTAAAAATCAATTTTGGCGTGACAATTTTCATTTTTCTGGAAAAAAAAAATTTCCAAATTTTATTAGTTTTTTAAAAATCTGATATTAATCTGGGTTTTTAGATGAAAATTCCATGATGGGCAATGCGGATGTTTTCCTTGAAGAACCTGTCTTAGCAGATGAAGATAATAGATCAAGTCCTGCACCTTCGCTGCCTTCTGTGAACCGAATGTTCGAAAGACTTTGGAAGAATTTATTGATCAAGTATGTGGGATTGATGACGACGACAAAGGTTATCTGGAATATCCAGGTAATGAGAAGGCGTTTGATGATAGTAACGCGGACCCAGATTATATACAAGAAAGTGATACTGACTCCGATAATGACATCCCAAAGAAAAAGCTGCAAAAAGATACAACAGCACTTATTGCACATGAGTCAGGAAGAGAAATCTTAAAAAATAAACCTGGACGAAAATCGCTAAAAAATGAAACTAGGCTAATTCGTGAGGAACGAAAGCAGAACAGAAACCTTGGGTTATCGTACACCACGAAAAGTGGGAAGGTTATAAAAGCACGGACATGTCAGGAGCTATTAAGTTGCCGCTTAAAATGCAAAGACAGGATAACTGAAGAAAAACGACAGGCAATTTTCAAAGAATATTGGTCTTTAGCGAGCTTTAACAAACGCGTGTCTTTTGTAGCTAGGCTTATAACAACAGACGGAAAGAAAACCACAAAACGTAAATTAGAAAACAAAAAACATAAAAATAGGCTTCTGTCACACAAATATTTTTTATCACTAAATGGTCAACTAGTTAACGTTTGTCAAAGTTGTTTTCTAAAAACTTTTAACGAAACAAAACGGTTTCTAACCGATGTGACAAAAAACAAGATTTCTTCAGCTTCTGCAATGCCACATGATGATTTGCGAGGTCTTGCCTCACCATCTAACAAAACTCCCAAACAAGATATTCAATTAGTAAGAGTTCACATTGGATCAATCCCAACGTATGAGAGTCACTATTGTCGTCGTGACTCATCAAAGATATATCTTCCTCATTACTATACCTTAACAAGAATGTATGAAGAATACAAAAAATGGCTACCTCACGAGAAAACCCCAGTATCGAAATTCAAATATCAAGAAGTATTCCATTCCATGGAAATAAAAATCAAACAGCCTAAAAAGGATACCTGCGCTACATGCGATAAATATCATATGCTCCTGAATGAAAACAACTAAAGATGCACAAAAAATGCAAGAAATTCAAAATCTTCTTGATAATCACCAACAAGAAGCATCAAACGCTTATGAGGCTAAGCGTATAGATAAAAATGCGTTAGAAAATGAATCGAAAATCATTTATACGTTTGATTTGCAACACTGTCTCCCCACACCTGATCTTCAGACTTCAATAGCATTCTATAAAAGGCAGTTGTGGACCTTTAATTTAACATTACATAGATTTAATGATAATCAAGCAATGTGTTTTATGTGGCATGATATTCTTATATTCTGATACTATTATTATATTCTGATGATATTCTGGTGATATTCTGATGATCACCTTATATTCTGATACGTGTGCAGGACAAAACAAGAACTCTTTTCTACCTGCAATGTTCATGATGGTTTTAAAAGAGAATCCCAATCTATCATACATTAACCACAAATTTCTTGTTCCTGGTCACACCCACATGGAGTGTGATTCAGATCACGCAATTATAGAGAAAAAAAAGAAAAGATATCCATGTTCGATAGAACACCCAAGGGACTGGATGAATTTGGTAAGATTATGTGGAAATAAGCGAACTTTTTTAGTTGCTGTGAAATGTGCATATCGGATTTTCTTGAGTTTTCTTCTTTGTATAAGAATGTCCTTCAACAAAGCAAAATTAACAATTTAGGAGAAAAAGTCATGTGGAAACAAATGAAATGGTTGAGATTTTCACAGAATCCTGGTGTCCTTGAAATCAAAAGTAGCTTAAATGTAGACGAACCATTTAAAAGCGTATGTTTTTTAAGAAAAGGTAATACGTGGCCTAAAAACATAAAAATTCCTCTGTCATATAAAGGTCCCAATCCAATAAACATCGATAAAAAAAAAGAACTTGATAGAGCTATTGCCTTATATTTCTGAAACATTTCATGATTTTTATAGAAATTTAACTACGAAGGAGGATATACCAATTACGTTACCCGACGATGAAAATAGTAGTGACGAGGAGAGTGTACACACAGAAATTAAAATTTTTAAAAATTAAATAAACTTTTACGTTATATTTGACTATAAATGTACCCCCTTAACTAAACATAAAACTTTTCAGTTTCAAATTTTTTTATTTATAATTAATAATTAGATTTGTTACTATATCTTCCGAAAGGGTTTTTTTCTTTAATAAATAATTGTGAAAAGTGATATAAGTCATATTTTTCTTAAAAAATTGTACAACTAGGTCCTTTTTACTATTCTATTTTAATCCAACAAATTCAAAGCCATTTCCAAAAATTGTTGAACGAAAATATCTTATTTGTATCCGTAACAATATTAAATTTGAAAAAACTATAATTGCGTTTTTCTCGAAACTTAAAATTTAGACTTATACCACTTTTCTCCAACACCCGCCATATAATATCAAATAGGTAAAGAAATAAATTATTTCTTTACCTATTTGAAATGGACTCACACAAGCAACACGACTGATAACGACTGACGAAAAGCTAAAACGATGGAAAAAAATATATGGAAGAGCTCTTCGACGCCGAAAGAGGAAACCTACAAAACACATATTTCAAGGACAGAGAAAATAGTATGGAAATTACAAAGAAAAAAATATTTTATGCACTAAAGAACACCAGAGACGAAAAAGGCCCAGGGACAGATCAACTGCCTTTTAATATCCTTAAAATACTAGAAAATGAGTACATGGATGTCCTTAACATTTATTTGTCTCTTAATAAAAATAATAGATAATGCACCGACCATCGCACCATAATCCTGATGTCTCACACACTTAAAATGTTTTTAAAGATCATCCATAAACGCATTTACACAACACTTGATATGGATATCGAAGAAACCCAATTTGGATTCCGTAGAGGTACCCGTGAAGCTCTCTTTGAATTCAAATTACTGAGCAGCTCTCATTGTGAGCATATAATATATATTATAAACAGCAGGCGCACATACGTATTAATGAACACACATCAGAAGAGTTCTAAATAAACAGAGGAGTGCGACAGGGGTGTGTATTGTCCCACTACTATTTAATGCATATTTTGACGAAATTATAAAAAAAAGCTCTCGGGGGAGAAACAGCAGTAATAAAGGTCAATGGAACACCAATTAACAACATTAGATATGCGGACGATACTATTATAATATCAGACAACCTCTAAGACCTCCAAAAGCTAATAAACAAGAAAGTTGAGTATGGAGAAGAATATGGATTATCAATAAACTAAAACTCATCATACATTCATATTCGGAAAAATAAATTTATGAGGACAATAAAAACCCAAAATAATAATGAAAGTCTGACAATTAACGGTAAAACTTTAAAACAAGTTGAAAACTACAATTATCTTGATACAATAATTATTCACACAAACGAATACTCTAAAGAAATCAAAGTTCGAATAGAGAACGAATAGAGCATGAACAAACTTCAATAAAATTAGAAACGTACTTTGTGCAAGAGAACTGAAATTAGACTTAAGAGTTAGGCTGGCAAGATGTTATATTTTCTCGACTTTTCTTTACGGGATACAAGCATGAACACTTAACCCGTCGACGACTAAAAAGTTTAAAGCATTTGAACTATGGGTGTCTAGAACAATCCTGAAGATATCATGGATTGAGCATGTAACAAACAACGCAGTAATGGGAAGTATCAACAAAAGAATGAAAATATTGGAAACCATCAAGACACGAAAGATGCAATACCTGGGGCATGTTATGCATAATAAAAGATGCAACATACTCCAGTTAATTATGCAAGGGAAAATCCAGGGCAAGAGAATTGTAGGAAGGAGATGAATGGATGTTTAACTTGAGGGAATGGTACGGATGCACATCAATCGAACTATTCACAGCGGCAGCATCTAAGATCAGAATAGCCATGATGATTGCCAACCTCCGTCGCGGAGATGGCACATTATGAAGAAGAAGACCTATAATTATACGTCCGTATACATTAGTTCCTGTCTATGCGGTATAATTTTACATATTCAACAATGTTTTGATGTATGTTTATTCGTTTTTGTATAATTTATATTTGTGTTTGTAATGCGTTAGAATTATTTATAAAAATATTGTCCATGTACGCCATATACTAATTAAATAGCAAAAATTAATATATTCGTAAATATTTAATTAATAGAGTACTTAGTTTTAATTACAACTAGTGAGTTGTGTACTTACACTGCTTCTCCATGGTTTAGACCCTTTTGGCAAACACCCGTATTATCTGCTTTCGGATCATACTGATCCACACACACCGTACCTTCAACCCCAAGGTTAAAAGTAGCAAAAAGTGAAGTCAAAGACAGCAAAATGATCGTACGCACCAGAATCATTTTAATACTAAGTTTTATTTTGTACTGGCAGATACTTATATTGCCTAATTATATAATACTAGCCTCTAATTAATTACTATGTCATAATTTGTTTTCTTGCCGGATTTTATATCAAAATTTAATAATCAATTATTCAAAGTTTAGTGAGGTTATTTAGTTTGTTGTTTATACACGGTGGACAAAATTATTTTTTTTAACGAAAATTATGTATAGGAGCAAGACATCACAAAATTGCTAATTCACTGTTTGACATATTTTTGTTAAATAGATAATTATTGCTGTTTTTTATGTCAAAAATAGTGAAAAGTCCAAATGTGTCCCATTGGACTCAGTTTTTCTGTAATTTTACTTATCGATACATTAATTCGCAAATCGGCCAACTCCATTTGAACAATTTTTTCCATTTGAGCAAATTTTAATATAAAATGGGTTAAATTTAAAACAAAACAAACGGAATTATACTTATAATTATGACATAACTTATTTTTAATTTTCATGAGAAAGGTTGTTATAATACGGATGGTAATCTCTGGGCATCAAGTTCTTTAGGCGCTGTAAATCCAAATATTTCTTTCTTATAATTGTTCTATGTTCAGGGTACAATTTTAACAAATCTTGAAACGGTATTGTATTTATTCTGAAATTTTTCCATTGGTTGAGTAATTATAGTCCTCAAAAAATCTAAGCTTATAAAATATTTCTCAAGAGGATGTATACATGAGAACTCGAACTTCGGTATCCTGAAAAATAAGGATAAAAAACACTGATCCAATGTGATCAAAAATAATGTTTACGATTTACTAAATAGCAATACTCATCACAAGGAATCTACGTTCCTGTAGTTGGCTGTATACCATGTATTAACAATTTTAATTAAAAATCCTTTGTAATAGGTATATATTTAAGGCCCAAACGGGCTAAGTTAAAAAGACATAACGTTTTCGGAAACCATGTTCCATCATCAGTGTCCTAGAAAATAGTTAACCACTTAATTAAAAAGAACATAGGTTAAAATTTTGACTAAGGTTAATGAAAAATGTGGTTAATACTTACTAGGAGTACATGAATGTAGCCACCAAGATTAAATATATGGGTAAAAACCCGTTAACAGATGTTTAATTACATTTAGTTTTTAAAAATACGTTATAATAATTTAAGATTATAGAGTTACCGATGGATTAGGTAACATGGCGACATATGACTCCACGTTGAAGTTGCTAGTCCTAAGACGGTATGTCTTCAAGGACTGTATGAGTGCAACTGATTGGCAATGACATTTGATGACAATATTGTTAAGTTATGACGGAAATTATCACAGAGCAGTCAATGTAGTTGTATGTTTCTACTTAAGACAAAAGCCAACGTTATTTAAAATTGTGAAAATTAAGTAAACTAATATAACAGTATCAACCATCAATGTTGTAGTTTTAAATTTATGTAAATAAGATGATATAAGGGAGAAAAAATTGTATGGTTGTAGTTAGGCAACCAACTATGCATGTATGTAGCAATGTAATATAGAAAATTTTTATTATATGGCCCTTTATGTTTCTTAAACATTTGGTACCCTGAAAATATAAACTAGACACATGTGGAAGGTTGAATTTTAGAAATTTTGATGTTAATGGTTGGATCTAAATGTATTTATTTAGAATTGTAAGTGTTCTTGTATGAATAAAATAAAACTGTTTTAGTAAATGTTTACGTGTTATTTAACTATTAACTCAAATATAGAGGCCCTGTATGTCAAAAGCAACATTTGGTACCTGGCAAATGTGAAAATTTTGAGTTATAAGTTCATGAACATAAATGTCTGACAAGGTGGTAACAGACTAAAAGGTGTGGAAGTTTTATTGTATTAGCTATTATATGTAATGAACGAAAGATTTTTTGATGGTTGGGACATGATTATGTAGTATGTTGATAGTATGATAATCTACTTATAACTTAAGAAAGGTCCTATCTGTCATAAGGCAACCCTAGATACAAAAGAAATAAAAAGGGTAAATTATAAGTTAGGTTTGTTGTAGGTATAACTTGTCTTAAATTTTGATGATGGTATGGTTGGCTTTGTTGATATTAAGTGAAATAAAAAAGTTTTTGTAGTGTCATCTTTGCAGATGAATAAGTTGTGTAATGTGATTTTATTCATAATGGATATGAGGATCTTAAGGTGTTTGTTCAACTATTGTGTGAAATAAACAAAATTTGATGGTTGGGATATGGTTATGTATTATGTTTATCATATATAACTCAAATTATAACTTAAATAAAGGCCCTATCTGTCATAAGACAACACTAGGTACATGAAAAAATTAGATGGATAAGTTATAAGTTGAATGTGTCTGCGTTGTATACTGGCCTTAACTTGAAATTGAAAGATTAATAGATGGCTATGTTCAAATTGAGTAGGAAAGAAATTTATGGTTGTTTTGAATGAATGGTGGGATACTGAACAACTACAAAAAGCTGAGATCACCAGAGGTCCGCTACCAAACCCTAAGGGAATTGAGTGAAAATGTAAAAAGAGGACTGAAGTGTTTGTTAGAAAGGGTTGCTGAATAGTTTAGAATTTTTGGGGGGCTATTTGGGGGAATAAAGATCTTGAAATTTTAAAAGAAAAACAAAAAAGCCCAAATTGTGTCAATCGTCATGTATCCTTCAATCGAGACTTCCTCCCTCTTCATCGCCAACTATTCTCATAATTTTCACCCCTAATTTACCTCTCAACTAAAATCCACATTTATCATCAAATTTCAGTCCATTCAAAAACTTTTACTTCAACATAACATACTCTCCATCTCTCCCCTCTTCTTTTCATTAAACCAAACTTCAAGTCCAACCCTCTATATCTATTACTGTCCATTCTTCTTGTTAGCCCGCCAAAAATTCTAAACTATTCAGCAAACCTTTCTAACAAACACTCTCTCAGCTTTCTGTAGTTGTTCAGTATCCCACCATTCATTTATTGGAAAATTACTTTCCTACTCAATTTGAACATAGCCATCTATTATTCTTTCAATTTCAAGTTAAGGCCAGTAAACAACGCAGACACATTCAACTTATAACTTATCCATCTAATTTTTTCATGTACCTAGTGTTGTCTTATGACAGATAGGGCCATTTTTTAAGTTCTAATTTGAGTTCTATATGATAAACATAATACATAACCATATCCCAACCATCAAATTTTGTTTATTTCACACAATAGTTGAACGAACAATTTAAGATCCTCATATCCATTATGAATTACACAACTTATTCATCTGCAAAGATGACACTGCACAAACTTTTTCGTTTCACTTAATATCAACAAAGCCAACCATACCATCATCACAATTTAAGACAACTTATACCTACAACAAACCTAACTTATAACTTATCATTTTTATTTCTTTTGTACCTAGGGTTGCCTTATGACAGATAGGACCTTTCTTAAGTTATAAGTAAATTATCATACTATCAACATACTACACAATCATGTCCCAACCATCAAAAAATCTTTCGTTTAGTACATATAGTAGCTAATACAATAAAACTTCCACACCTTTTAGTCTGTTACCACCTTGTCAGACATTTATGTTCATGAACTTATAACTCAAAATTTTCACATTTGCCAGGTACCAAATGTTGCTTTTGACATACAGGGCCTCTATATTTGAGTTAAAAATTAAATAACACGTGAACAATTACTAAAACAGTTTTATTTTATTCATACAAAAACACTTACAATTCTAAATAAATACATTTAGGTCCAACCATTAACATCAAAATTTCTAAAATTCAACCTTCCACATGTGTCTAGTTTATATTTTCTGGGTACCAAATGTTTAAGAAACATAAAGGGCCATATAATAAAAATTTTCTATATTACATTGCTACATACATGCATAGTTGGTTGCCTAACTACAACCGTACAATTTTTTCTCCCTTATATCATCTTATTTACATAAATTTAAAACTACAACATTGATGGTTGATACTGTTATATTAGTTTACTTAATTTTCACAATTTTAAATAACGTTGGCTTTTGTCTTAAGTAGAAACATATAGCTACATTGACTGCTCTGTGATAATTTCCGTCATAACTTAACAATATTGTCATCAAATGTCATTGCCAATCAGTTGCACTCATACAGTCCTCGAAGACATACCGTCTCAGGACTAGCAACTTCAACGTGGAGTCATATGTCGCCATGTTACCTAATCCATCGGTAACTCTATAATCTTAAATTATTATAACGTATTTTTAAAAATTTATGTAATTAAACATCTGTTAACGGGTTTTTACCCATATATTTAATCTTGGTGGCTACATTCATGTACTCCTAGTAAGTATTAACCACATTTTTCATTAACCTTAGTCAAAATTTTAACCTATGTTCTTTTTAATTAAGTGGTTAACTATTTTCTAGGACACTGATGATGTAACATGGTTTCCGAAAACGTTATGTCTTTTTAACTTAGCCCGTTTGGGCCTTAAATATATACCTATTACAAAGGATTTTTAATTAAATTTTTAAATAGCAATACCTTAGGATCTCCTTTTAATTTTCCTGGAATTATGGAGTTGTAAAAATGTAGCTGCTTAAAATTCTTAAACTAGAAAAGTATTCAACTGTCTAGGGTTTCTTCCTTGCTATTTCTTCGCTTTTCTGCAAATGGTAATGTACTCAGCTGAATCATTAATTATTTGATTTTTAAATTTTTTCTTTATCATTAGGTGTATACTGTCGACTTCCATTTGTGTGTGGCCCACTTTCATATATTTTTGTTTAATAATCAAATTGTTTAGCAAAGATAAGTAAACGAGAGAGTTGCTTGAAGTGACGTTTCGGTTTTAATAACAACACCCATTAGTATACACGATTATGTGCCTGTTGTCTTTTCCCATTTTTAGAATTACTTTTTCCGTAAGAAAGTTTACCAAAATGGTAGCAAATTCATCAGAATTAAATCCTCCTTAAGCCTCATCTCACAGAAAGCAATATCCATTACTATTCTTTACA